TCGCTATTTACATGGCGGAATGTAATTTTTCATTTTTTTAAATGTTTGTGTGCTGCTGCGCGTCCCTGTGTGTGTAATTAGCAAAGTGTATGCATGTTGTGCACCTGCCTATAGGCGCATATTACTAACGTGCTCTTTAAATAACAAAGAAAAAATATTGCGCCAGACTTTAGACCAGGTTTGAGTTGGTCTATGGCGCAGTCTATTTTCAGTTCCTCAAAATATCAACGCACCAACAATGCACCATGAACACACCTCTTTTTTAGACCAGCACGCCCATGGGCACACAAATGGGCGCAAATGCATTTGCTATTTAAACGCGGCGCAGGACGGGAAAATGAGAACTGCGTCGGGCTGAAACTAGCAAAAATACTTGCGCTGCACTGCGCCGGGTGTATGATAGGGCCCAATATCTCATAATTCTTTTTTTGTGATAATAATTAGGCTACTTTTTTATCTCATGTAATTTGACTTTGTCATGATTGTGTGTTTTCTATCATAATTGTCTTTTTATCTCATAATTTTTACTTTGTCATAATTGTTTTTTTGTCATAATTATGACCTTTTTATCTCATAATTATAATTTACCAAAGCATGATTTTTTTTCGCATGCAGTGGAAATGGGCCTCCATGGTAAATATGTAACAAGACATTAAAGTTTCTTCACATAATGTTAACCACAGCCCTATTTTACTCATTAATAAAATAAAAAAAAACACACTTTAAAAAAAAACTCATTAAAAATGAATGATATCAAGAAGCCTTACAGGTTGACATATAATCTGACGTCATGACTGAACAGCTCTTCAGAGAATTTTGCAGATAGATGCACATTAATCTTTTACCAAACTTTTGCAGATGTGACAGCAGCAATGAAAGTGACCTCGAGTGGGCCACAAACTTTGCAGATGGCTCAAGGGGAACCGGTTACACTAGACTGCACCTACACGTCAAGTCAAGCAGACATAGGCGAGCTTGACATTGAGTGGTCAGTTGTCAGCCCAGACACCACAAAAAAAGACCAGATGGTGAGTAAGGCGATCTGTCACTGCTTCCTATCCATGAAATAAATGACAAATAGGCCTCCCTAGGCACTGTTTTGAACAGTCTCATTGATGATCTATTCAAAAACATCAGCTTTAACTGATATTTAAATATTTTGTCCATTAGATCATATCATACACAGGTGGAAGGAGATATACCCATGGTGACCGTGATTTAATGAAAGGTGTGGACTTCACAGCTACAGACCCTTCCCAGGGAGACGCATCTCTATCGATCGCCTCACTGACTGCCACTCACGATGGAACGTATCAGTGCAAAGTCAAAAAGGCACCTGGGGTGGACAGCCGGAAAATATCACTGATTGTGATGGGTAATGTCACTTATATCTAGTCTTTGTATCAATCTTATCAACTTTTAAGTACATCACTGTAGTACTACAAAATTACACGATGCATTTATTTAAACAGTCTT